AAATATCTCGAATAGTTAAAAGGGTTGCGAGTTACTTTCCAGCCACCCTGTATAATGATGTGCAAAGTGTGTCCGTAGTTAATTTAAACTTTTGTAGTGATATAGCAAACATATAATGAACTCGGGATTACCAGCTTCTATTAAAACATATTATGAAATACAGCCTACAGCCTTCTTGATCGCGATTTTCCGATTACTCTGAATCTCTTTAGCATAATGCTTTGTTTGTGTGTGGGTCACTCAACGAAAAATAACAGGAAACTAGCTGTTCGGTGTGTAGAAATAACTAGTATCGGTAGTATATATTGACCTGTATGTTTTATATGCACTTGATCAGATCAAGTGGTACTTAACTACTTATAGCAAATAAAAACTATTGATGTTGAAATATTGGCTTCGTCGTTGAGCCGGTAAGTGTAAATTTCACAACTTTGAAAGTAAACCTCCCTTTCTACGGTTCCTAGGGTTTGGAGCAGTCTTAGAATGAAAGGTACTTTCGATTTTATCCCACTTTTACCGGTTTAACCTATTTTACAAGTCCCGCGTTAGTAGATTTAAATGACCATTCTCGTGGATTATAAAAAAATGGGAATAGTCGTCACAATATAGGTGAGTATTCAAGACAACCGGTTCGTTTGTAGTTGGTTTGCATAAATGTGCATTAACCGGTTTCCCAGAGAAGCGGACTAGCACGTGGGACGCTAGCACACGAGACTTGATACCTAGACGGGCTGGTATCATCACTAGAAATGTAAAGCTAAAGTAGCAAAATAAAGTACAGTCATTTCATCAAATCAACGGTACATCGTACCTAGTGTTATAAAAAATCACAATTGTTCAGGCCAATCGTCTGTGTGGCATATGCAATCTTTGAAAGAAGAATCTGTAAAAACTGTTACAAAATATGTAAACATTGTTATTTCTTACTGTTTCCATGGAAACCAATCAATGCCATTATTCGTAAAAGTATAATACAATAGGTTTAGAAACCCCAGGTGTGGAGGTGTAAGTAATTTTAAGATCGGGAATAAATCACACACTTTTTAAGCTATATAACACGTTCATATACAAGATGGCAATGCATTAAGACATCACCTTCACTTACATAGGAAAAGTTTTTAAGTGGCCGCTCTCTTCTTTAAAATATTAATTTAGACACAAATCCCCTTAAGAATTACAAACATCAGTAGAAACAACTATAAATATCCTTTTATGGGCACTCTATATGGCAATTCACTATAACAAACAAACCCGGAATAACCTCAGAAAACGTATAATAGCGCGTAGGAATATCAAAGCGATTTGCAACGTATATAGTGTAACGTAAAATGAGATAACGGACGTAGGTTGAGAAATGTTAAATGGACAAAAACACAAACCTCGACAAGGTCTTCTAGCTGCCATTTAGGTGCAGCTCCAACGCACTCTGAACCTTGTATACTTTGTAAACAGATCTAATGGTCACCATAATGTGTAAAATAAAACATTCCTAGTATCTGATAATGCGATCTTGTAATGCAAATAGCACATTAAAGAACATGCATTCACTTTTAAAAGCTCTTTTTCTACACTTATGCAAATTTGTTAACTGGCAAAGAAAGGACTAACAAATTTGTTATGAGATAACTCAAAATCATTTTTGGAACATACAAAACTTTTAGCTGCAAAGCTATATAGCTATATTATTCCCGAAATATAACTATCAAAAGTAAATATTTTTTTTTGTCACAGTGTAGATACAACCAATTTAGATTAAGCCTGTTTTGAGTTTAATGTCTGGTTAGGCTACCCTGATGTCCACTTGTTGCTCATATAATTTGGGGTGGATTTCACTGTGTAGTGTGTGTGCGTTATAGATTGAAATACCCTTGCCAAAGCAAACCTGCAGCCTAAGCGAATTTCCATTGCCCTGATTGGATTTTCACTAAAATATTTCATGAACTGTCAGATTTACTCCCCCTTTAAAACACTAGGCTTTATGAGTACTTAGGATTGCTGCTAGAGGGAAGGTAATAAGGTGTGTTTTTAAGTTAAAATGTTAATAGCTTGGTATAAAAAAATAAATTTGCCAAGTTGGATCAAAATACATCCAGAAACAAGTAAACTACAACAGTTTACTTATTCTCCTTAAGAATAACGTAGAAACATAAAATTAACAGTTTATTTTTATTTTCATTAATTAAACGCACAACAACACTTCAATGTACTCATTGCCATTTTTAGCTCTACAACATGGTTTGGAAATAAATTGCAACTTTAATGAACTTGGAAATAAATTGCAACTTGGAAATAAATCGCGAGCTCTTTAGAATAAACGGAGTACAACATGTTTGTACAAAATTTCATCAAAATCGTATGATTTTTGCTCGAGGTATCGTGGAAAGGGACACTACTGTTATATCACTATACTTATATGAGTTAAAACGGATTGTGTTTTTGCCTCTGGGGACATAAAAATAAAAAGTAAACCTGTCTCGGTCCCAGGTCTTACCATGAGACCTTCGGTAATAGATTCCCTATATCGGAGCAAAATATCTTTAAAATTAAAATGTTGATTCAATCGACGAATTCAGCACGTACTGCGGATGCGTAATGTTTTCACGCCTCTACAACAGACCTGAAGGATTGATGGTTGTAGTTCTTGTCACTGCGAAGGACTGCAATTATCAGGATGCATTCCGCTTCCAAGGATAACTACAGTATTAACAGCCTATATCAAACTGTAGAATACTGTACATACGAGAACTGGATTGACAGTGTACCAGGTCCGTTGTGTCGATTGAAAACTCAGTTGAGTTTTGGATCATTAACATTTAGAGTTTATGGTTGAAAACTTCAGAGTATTAGGCAGTTATACAGGGTTCATCAGACCACCCGGTTTGGCCCCACAAGCGTTTGAAAACGACCTTTTTTATTGAAAGTCCGCCATTTAAAATTTATTTAGTGGGTCACAATTTCAAAATGTCACATTAAGCACTTTTTTCAATGTTGGGATCATTTAAACCACAAATATATGTCGGAAAAGTAATTAAAAAACGTCGAAAATCCAAGACATTTTACAAATTTTTGAATGAGGGCGTTTTTTGAAGGTGAAGGAGTGTGATTTTCGTAAAACCGCCCTAGAGTGGCATGTAGAACATTCAATCCCTGACCATGAAAATTCTTTCAAATATTTGCTTTTTGCACTATAGCCGTTTAAAAAACGTGTTTTCTCAAAAAGGGGAATTCAAGGGATAATATTTTTGGGGGGGGGGGGTTGTAATTTGAAAATGTAACTTTTTGGATTTTCTAGGTGTTTTGGGACCGAGACGGACCTCCACAAAAATTCCAGATCCTACTATTCTAGAAGTGGGTAAACATTTGTATACCTGATCAGTGAGTCAGTGAGTTACACAAGCGGATTTATATTCCGTTAAAGTATGTGCACGGGTGGTCTGATTCACACTGTAGTTAATTTTCGTAATATTATTCCCCATTGAACAGATTTTAATAAGGGTGTTATGATAAAAATAGGGTAATTAGAAGTCTGATGTGCCTTATTTACCCAATCCACCGTATGTTATCCAACCACACTTCAAATTACGGGTGAAATAAAATCGTCATGGTCTGAAAATAAAGCAATGGTGACTACGAAACTTCGGCATCTTATTTCACATTACAAGTTAATGGAATCTCAGCGAAAAGGCGTTGTCACGATTTGTTTAGCTATTTAAGAAAAATATGAACAAATCATTTTAATTTAATACAACAGATTTAGTTGTCTTTGCAGGTATAATACCAGTTAACATGAACATGCTATAATATATTCTTTAACATAATTATGTTCTTTGAAATTAGAATAGAATAATATATGTGTAATGTGGAGACTTCCTGGGAGTTCTTAAAAAGTAACCTGCTCTTTTCTCTCTTACCACTCCATTAATCTATGCTCTAAACAGAAAAAGTGTGCGGTGTTCTTAATAATAACGTTAACTTGAGTTTGTAGCAACAATTTGTATATAATAATTCTAGTAGGTATACGTAGAATTTTACGACTGATTTTCAATATTTGAAAAAAGTAATTCAATGTATTTTTAAAGATATTGAACATAAAAATAACTACATACCTTAATAGTTTTTATACATGTTTTTAAATACAATTCCAGCTATCATTTTTTCACGTATACAGTTTCATTGTGTGCCAATAATTTATTTCCAATGAAAACACCGGTACAAAAAAAATTATATCGATTATCGAATGACACTAACAAAATATAACAACTATTTAATCAATACTTTTATTTTTTTTTATTATTGTTTTTACGACACCACAAACCTTAGTTTTAAAATGGGAATATAGAGAAAATAAAACAGGAAACTTCTCCGTCGGGTCAGTAAGGCTACTATCACTAGTTGTTTACTTCTGTAGAAAATAAATTATTTCTCACGAGAGTAAAAAATGGTATAAAACAAAAAGGTGGTGTTTACTATTTTACTACACTTAGTAAAATAGTAAGTGTATGTTTGATATCGATTCTACGTGCGTGGAAAAACGTAGCAACGAAGTATTTTTAAATAGATTAATCTTTTGTAATTTCAAGCCAATCTGAAGATATGATGACATTTTTGCACTCCTGTTGAACAGTGGAAATTTGTAATTAAAAACGTGTTTTAAAATATATTTTATTCGTCCAGCTCCGAATTCAATAACGTTTAATCTAAACCCAAAACTTAATTTACAAGCACCTTTCATCGTAAATTATATTCGTATACATTAGATCACACAAATATACACCATTGTCCATACACCAACCAAAAGACATTTACATTTTCCTGTCAAATAGATTTACCAGAAGCATTTATATACAAGAGCACAACCTCACTATGATTTTCCTGTTTTATTCTAATTGTAAAGCCAGAAGGATATTTTCACTAGTGATAAGAAGTCGTCTGAGGATTGGGTCAAAGGTCAGATTTGGCCTTGTGACCACTTTAGTTGTCTGCACCTCAGTTCGCGAATGTTGGTCGTCGTCTACCCTTACATCACATGAGTATCCTCCAAGTGTGCTATTTTTACGTCGTTTTTCACGACAAATCAAGACGACAATATTCAACCACAGTGACAAAGTAAAAAACTAACATCCTTAAATGTGTTTTTTAAGTAGAAGAATGTGCAAAAGTCTTGGTTGAGACATAGTGGTGGAGTTTTGATCGTAGTTTTTGGAACACAATCGATGGACTTCCTCGAGTGTTTGAAATTGTACTGCCTGAAGATTTTGAGACGACCATTTGGCAATGGATTCTTGGTCAAACTACGGAATGAAATGGGTCCTAAAGCTATTATTAAAGGTATGATCGCATATATAACTTTAAAATGTTAATTATTACCTTAAAATTAAGGGGTGGATTAATATGTAAAAAATCGAGGCAATATTGTACCTTTTCCGTTAACTCACAGCCATTGTATAAGTCGTATGTAACAATACATGATCTAAGATTAAGGTTAAGACTCTGTTCTAACCTAACCTAATTCAACTGTAAAACTTAAGTATACGTACAACTAAACAGGGCCTTTATAATTTAACATTTTACTCTGAAAAACAGTGATGGTGAATTAATCCTTTCATTAAATTTGTTTATCAAATTATAAACAAACAAATAATAAATACATCATCACCTACGTTTCCTGGAAATTTTCAAAGTGTATTTTAATAAGTGCAGCACATTTGAGGCTCCATATATTTGTATAAGTTGAACATTTCTGAAGTTTCGTTTTTCAAAATAACAACTATTCTTTTATACTCTGAAAGATTCATAGTAATTTTGGTTTAGTTCTTCGTAAAAACCCTATTTACAGTGCTTCTAGGATTAATTGTTGTCATTACTAAATTGTATTTGCTATTATAGTAGAGTTCTTGAGGTGAATTACTACCAAGTGACGTATAAGTTGTAGATTAAGTTATTATTGCGCTTACAAAATATTAATAGTTAAGCTCATGAAAAAAACCAATAGAATTTTATTTCAAAGCACAACTGTAAAATAGTCATTCTAGTGTGTAGCGAATGTTTTCGTTAAATAAACTTCTACTTTTATTTTACCTCGGTTCTACATCATTGCCCCTTCAGTGGTAGTTAGAAATAATGGGTTACAGCTTGTTGAAATGTAGAGAGTGAACTATTTTCAAATTATAAGAACGGACATTGCACGTCAATGCAGCCTAAAAATGCTGCACATACATTCCCTAGATTAAAAATTTGTTCTTTTCTTCAATCTACAATCCAGAGACACCGAACCTAACCTAACCTAACCTAACCTCACCTAACCTAACCTAACCTCACCTCACCTCACCTAACCTAACCTAAACTAACCTAATCTAACCTAACCAAATTAATGTACGATTACCGGATGATTCTTCAAGATTATTTCACGTAAGATATTTCTAGAAAATGACTCAACAAACACCTTTCAATTTTAATGACTTGAAGATTCGTAATTGTCAAAACAAGTTGCAGAGAATCACTAACAACTTGTAATGTTTAGTAGTGTTTTGATGAGTTTACAGCATCCTTGATTGTTTTCATGTGCAATTTTTGCAATGAGTCAAAGTATAATACGTTCCTAGTTATGTCAGCGTGGTTTTAACGTTTACACATTGTCTTCTATTTTTAATTCCGTGTCAGTGGCAAAAAGACAAGAAAAGTAATTTAATACTAAATACAGTCATTTTATTGTCATATGCAATAGAAATAAACTCAACATGATTATTAGTTCAACACAATTATTATATGGCAAAGAGTTCAAGAGAGGGATTGAATTGAATTGAAAATAACTTTATTCATAAATCATACAAGTATGTACATTGAATGGCGTCAACATTCTTAAACTACTTAAACTTACAACATAATATCAGCTGTACAGTTCATCAAAATTATACAGTACTTTTTGTGTTAGGTATATTTTAAGCTGGGATTTAAATTTTTTACAATCATCAATTTTCCTCAACCACTCTGGAAGCCCTTCCAACAATTTTCTTCCAGCACATGACGGTTTTATGTTATGATTGTAATGTGTTTAGGAAGCCAATGTGCCTGCTCTCTATTGATAAAATTCACTTTGGAGTTTTCAAATTACTAACTTACCTGGCAGTTAGAAACAACAAAACTCTTTTGTATTTTCTTTGTGTTTTCACGTTTGTGTAAGGTATGCACTCAGATCTAAATTAATTGGTTGAATACATTAATCGGGTTTATTTATTTCTACCCACCTAACTGCATTTTGTCTACCCATGATGCCAAATTACTCAGGGATATGGATAAAATTCCAAAATATGGATGTAAAATAATATAATTTTATTAAATGTATTTTAAGACACACGTATTGCTATCAATAGTAAATTAAATCACTTAACCATGAATTGTTTTACTCAAATCCATGTGCATCGTCCCTACTTCGAGTCAAACTAATTGTGTGTAGCTAATCTAACCTAACCATTTATTTTTTAAACTTGTCTCTCTCTTTCACTGTATCCTTCTACGAATATAGAATTAACCTCTATAAGCTATAAAAATTCAAATGTTTATACTACCACGCATAGTATCTTATAAGGAAGGCCTTATAAAATTGTCGAAACCATACGATGTTTATCGTACATTTATTATTACTGTGACATAAGTTTTTTTTTTATTTTGGTTACATTTTTAGCAGTCTACCAGCTGTATCATTTCCATTGCTTCTTTGCTAATACAATTTAAAATAAAAAGGTACTGAAAACATTAACAATAAATAACATAGTATAAATAATTTACCTGTCCCAACGCATGTATACATTTATTTATTGTTTACAGTAATAAATTGACATGAAAGGGAGTACAGTACTTCTTGCCTCAAAGGCGTGCTATGTGGTTGGATCACAGGACCTCTAACCTGAAGGCCTGGGTTCAAATCCGATCAATCGCCAACGTTATGAATCGGTGGTTTGGAATCCACCTTCCATATGCTCTGGTTTTATCAGCTTTGGTTTTGCTTTTCGTAGTGGGTCTATCGGGGGGTTCGCATTTACATCTTTGTTTAAAAATATATATAAATACCTCAGGTGAGGAGATATTTATGTGTATTGAAGACATTTCTCCACTTAGATATATTCGATAGTTCAATTTAATGTATCAACTGTTATTGTGATAGCCAATGCTGAATTAAACTCAAGATGACGCTTCTTGGCGTTGATTATAAAATTTTATGATCATCTATTTAAAAAAAACCCATCAACTCATTGTATATCCCGTTCCCCAAAGTTGTAAATAAAGTGTTGACATTTTAATACTTTCCTCCACCCTACAGGGGTAGTGATTACACCCTACCCTTACCGTAAAACGTGCGTTCCTGTTGGTGATGTGTTTATTTTGTTTAATGATGATTCCGGATCTTTCCATCACTAATTATTGTAAATTAACACAATATTCACTACGGTTCGGAATATAGAATCGGACCGTGTCTTCAGGTGGGGAGGAACCTAAAAACGCGATATCTGAAAACAAAAAATGTTTAGTCGTGAAATATTAAAGGAGAACAATTAAAAAGTTTTAAGACTAAATAACGCAATAACTCGACTCCGAGGAAAGCGTTGTTGTTATCTGTGACTGATTATTGTGACATGTGAACAATGTTCATTTTTACACTCAAAATAAAACAATTTCCAAATTATTTTAAATTATTTCGTAGAAACAATCAATTGATGTTAACAAAAATCCAAATTTTAATGTTGTATGTTATTCTTAGGGAAAATAAGTCAATTGTTCTGGTTTGCGTGTTTTCTGATGTATTTGGATCAAATGTTTCAAATTTATTTATTTCATACTAAGCTAATACGTTTCACTAGAAACACACTTTATGTACCTTCTCCGTAGCAGCAAACCTAATTTTATTTACGTAGGGAACAAATGTGAAATTTAATGAATTATTTTAGTGATAATCCAATTAGGCAAATGGAAATTCTCTGCAGGTTTGCTAGGGCGAGGGTATTTTTACCTATTGCGATTCTCGGTGTTGATCGGTTTCTGTACAAATCTTGCCATTTTCTAAGTCCCTTCAATCCCGAAGACACGTTGGATTCCAGGTCATGAAGTGTCGTGAAAATTATGTTTTGCTTGAAGAACAACAGTGATATAAAACGTTTAACCATTGCTTTTAGCAAAACTCTTTTACAGAAAACATGCTTACTGTAATTAAAGGCTTATAGCTTCAGGCAAATGTTTAATTATTCACAGAGCTAGAGTTAAATTATACTTACATGATACAAGTTAGATTGTCACAAAAACGAATTATTTCAAAATCTTTTTATAGTTTAGTGGCTTTTATTAAGGTTATCGTTTATAACATTGTGAAAGGTTAAAAACATTATAGCCCAATGAAATAACAACAACAATTAGACCCAACTGACCTTGCAACTGATTGTAAGGTACATGACCTCAATAAAGTACTACTAATTTGATAATCTGGGTCGTGCCTATCCCACTGATGCTATCGTTTAACTCAGTCGAAATGGTTTCCGACACACATTGTAAATACTTTTCAAATACGGCAAGTTAAATTCCAAGTTTTTACATCAGTTGAGAAAACCTTGCCATTCTTCATGGGCGAGGCTCAATTTGCACCGAAAACTACCTGTCGTTGGCACTGTTCGGTTCCTGACCATCAAGCATTTACAAGATTTCCATAATCAATTACCAATACCGTACTTTTAACATGTTCATGTTACTATTTACATGAATAATATGCAGGGTCCCTCATACGTAGCTCGAGAGCTACTCGACCTTGTTACAATTCAAGAGCATAACTAGATGTATTGTCTTGATACCGATATTCATCATATAATACATGCGGTATGTACTATTCTTCGTTGTTTTCAATACATTCAAAAGGTTACAACTAAAACAGTTGTGAGATTCATCCTCAACTAATTGCGTACCTTGATAATTTAGCGAAAGCTGAGGTGCGTCGATAAAAGGTTAATGACCTCGTTTCCTAGTGTGCGTTACATGGTTCAAGGTTCGTACCAAGTTACCTTCTAACTTGTGTGAGGTTCAAGGTTGGATGCTTTGTTACCTTCTAATACGTTGCAAGGTTTAAGGTTCGTGAATTCTTTACCTACATTTTAGATATGTTGCAAGATTCAATGTACATGATTTCTTTACCTGTTTAGGTACGTTATGCGGTTCTACGTTAGTTTCTAAGTTACCTTCTAATACACGTTATAAGTTCCAGGATTCATGAATTATTTATCTGCTTTTTATGTAAGTTCGTAGAATATGGAAGTAACTAACTGTATGGCCAGTGACAAATCTGGTAGGTT